GCTGCGCCGCCAACCCCGCCCGGCCGCCGCTCGGGCCGCGGAGCGAGCGTTCCGGATAGGAGGGGCGGCAGCGGCCGGCAGCCGGGGCCCGAGGTCCCCTCACAGGAAGGAGCGAGGCGAGGCCCAGTGGCGGTCACCGGTAATGCCGGGTTTAACTTGCCCTGAGCTTCAGAATGCTCTGAGACCGCACCCGCCCGGGCCAGCCTCACCGCCATCCGGGAAACAGACCCTCGGGGGAGGCGGGAGCGCGGCTACCCGGCCTTGTCGGCGGCTCCTGTGAACGGACGACCCTCAGCATCTCACACTGAGGAAAATTTTGCCGCCGTTACAGTTAAATACAAGATTTTTTTTTTTCCCACGACAACATCAAAATACACCAATTATTAAAAAGGATGGTAGCATAGCTAAAACATGTTGTGGGCACATCACTAGTGTGGGCAGGGACCCACGGTAAATTTAGTCAGGCCAAACTGGCCCTCATTCACTTTTCACGGACCAGTTAACAGAATTAAGGCACTATCTGGGTTTACATGGCATTTCTGTAATTATCTGAAGTAATTTCAGTAATTAACAGAAGAATCCAGGAGCCTGGGAAAAGGCTATTATTTACATATACTGTAGCACTGAATTTCAATGCATGATTACTCTCATCGGTTACTTCATTAAAATAACTGCTTATTCTGGCAGCCAAAGCGCTACTTTAACTTTGTTCTAAAACACAGAATTTGGAATACATTAATTGCTGTGAAGTTTAAGGCGTATTTCCTGTGATTTTAATGTGCACACAGGAGCAAACCGAGTAGTGGAATAATACAAGTTTTTGCAAATGCACAGAATAATCTCACCATACTCAGAATTACCCCCTTTAGGCTTCATTCTTGTTTCACTGTGATAGCTTTCTTTGGAGTTTTCTTTTAATAAGCTATCCCTACAAAACTGTGAACAGTTAACTAGTACTTGTATTTAAAAAGTGGGTGGTGGTGCTCTGTATGCCATTGAGTATGCGAATTGCTCTGACCAAAAGAAGTTATTTTTCACTAAATGTTGTGTACATTCCACTTTCCAGTATCTTTAAGTTTACTGTTTGACTCCTTTGCAAGCATACCGTTTATTTTTAAAGGTAGCCAGAAAGATACAAGGACTAGTTCACATCCAGCAGCTTTTAGCATTGCAGATTAAAGCAGAAGATTCTGAAACACGAATGTAGTAGAATGGTGCCTGGTTGAGATACTGGGCTGGATGAGTTTTACCCATACATGCTGATGCAACTTTGAAAAAGTTTATTTCTGGTCTATAAAATAGCACAAGTCTAGACTAGAAGATGTAATGTAGGGATTTCTTGGAGACAAAAACTTCCTGAAGCTACAGCATTTCCTTTTCACTTGCTTTTCAAAATAGGGCAACAGGCTATTTTGTTTGCACACACAAAACTCTGACTAGTCACTAAAAGAAAGCATCAGGAAGAAAATCAGTCAGTTTTAACACCCATTAGAAACAGTGGGTGTTCAGACGGTACATAGATCCAGGAGGGACTTTTACTGTTCTCTCCAAGAAATATGAAAGCACTTGTAATAGTGATTATCTTCATATGCTGGCAGAAAACAGGTTGTGCTTGTCACACTGAAAATGCATTGTTAAACTTATAGATGTTAACTAATCACCTTTCACAACTACTGTAGTAAATATTATAAAACTACATTTAACTATGTAACAGTAACCTTCTATTACCCTTACTTTGCTATGCTCAGAAATTGACAACTCTGCAGTAGTACCACATCATTTGATGCCAAATGAAGCACTACATGGTCCCTACATTCAGGAATTTAATCCAGAAAGTTGTTAAATGTTAAACCTAGAGAATGATTTCTTTAAATACAAGAAAAGCATACTCAAGTATACTTGAGAGTACTTGAGAAGATGACATAGCGACAAAATGTTGCCAGAGGATGGATTGGCCTTTGTGAGAATGATGCAGCAGGGAAAAATAACACAGAGTATAAGGGAACAGAGGGACAGATTTGTTAGCAGAACAAACTTGCTATTAGAAAAACAGGATCAGAACTATGAAACATGCAAAACTACCAAGATATGAAATGTGCTGTGAAAAAGAAAAAAATTATTTGCGTATAATTTATACATGCTGATACATCATTTTTATGTATCTCCAGAACAGACTATGACACACAGTGGTAGAAAAGGAAAATTACTGTAACTATTCAATTACAGGCAAAGAGGAGGAAACCCAGTGACATCCACAGAGTGCACATATTTTAGGAATAATAGGGAATAAGCAGTCTTTCAGGATGAAAGAATACATCACAGCCACTTTTCATGTTCTGGGAATTCCACAAGGTCTTTATCTGTATTTAAACAGGATTACAGTGCATATTCTAGATCTGTATGAATGTCTCAAATTAGTTTTAAAAGCTTGCAAATGTTTGCTTTCCCGTAACACAATGCAGTTACCACAAGAAGGCATAAAACTGCAGTTATGCAAAAGTATACTCTTTCATGTGCAGAAAGAATTTGAGATCTTTTCAGGTAACACCAAAATACAAAAAGAGGTAACAAATTAGTTATAGGTATTTTGATGTTGTGATTATGTTTTGCTTCTACCTAAAATAATTCTGAGCAGCACTGATCCATCTCATGTCATGAGGAGTTTCTATTTCATAAGCATCACAGGGAGGATTACCTCAATCAATCTAGAAACAGTTTTAGCCAGTTTCTCTGCAAAGCAATCATAACTTTATTGGATACAGTGGAAGTATGCCAAGGCTGGGTTCGACCTCTTGAATTACATGAAAGTTGCCAAGCATCCATTTTTAAGGGGTGTCACTCTGCATCCAAGTAAGACACAAAATGAGGAAGAAAATATTTAAACAGTATTAACATTTCCTTAAGTAGCACTAGGAAAAAACTTACTGCCTCTGTATGCTTCAATAAAGGGGAAACAGAGGAGAAATTAATTAGCTTTCAATGAAATCATATCTGGGAAAAATCTAAGATATTTTGAAGGAAAGCAATGAAAACTACTTAAGGTGGAAAAAGTGGAATTCTTTAGTTTAAGAAATCAAGATTTGCTTCTAGGAACCAAAACAAAGTTGTAGTTTGATCCACTCCCATTAGATCACATGCCATCCTTTCTTAAGTAGGAAGAAGTCCAATTTACAAAATGTGAAAGTGGAAAAATGGGTGCAAGCTGACAATTTTAATAGAAGAGACAAATGAGACTTCTTTCAGAACACGGATATTTTTTATTGTCAAGGTCAAGAACTTCAATGCTGGACAGGAACACAGGATATACAATAATTTTGTATATTTTAATTGTCCATATGCTTCAAATCCCACCACAATTTTGAGATTAATTAACTAAACACTGGATAGCTTCTTCTACAATTTTAAATCAATTAGGTTTTTCATTGCCACAAGTATTTTTAGTTGATATGCTGTCATGAAAGCCAGTCCACCCTACTATGCTATACAATCTTTTGGTGACAATTTTTAGGTGCTGCTTTATCTGCCCTGTAAAAATGCACAGATTAGAAAAGATGCAGATGTTGCTACAGTTATCTTGATCAAGGATATCCAGCTGTTTATCAAGACAAAAAAAAAAAAATAGCACCCTTTTATTGATTTATTCAAGTCCAGTTTAAAAACTGTGATATTCCCCGAAACTGTAAGTCTCTTGGACATTTATTTCCCTTTGTAGATCTATGGAGCCAGGTGGGTATTTTGTAAGAGGAAAACTGAAGGGTAAAAGGTCTTGCTGTATAGACTCCGTGTCTGAGAACTGTCTGTAATTGAAAGAGGACACTGTATGCCCACTCATGGAGGGCAGTATTACTTGGTAATATTCAAATAAATGTTAACTACCTTCTGCAAAGACCCAGTCACACAAGTTAAGACTGCATAGCAGACTGTACACATACATGCAACAATGCAGATTCACAAAATTGAGACTAGAGAGACCAAGGTGATAATCGTCTAGTAACTTTAGTTTTATCTGAAGTACACCTTCTATTCTTTAAGGATATCAAGAGACCACTTTCCCTGATAATTCTGATTGTAACCATTTGTCACTCAATTTCCTCCTAATGTCTGTCTTCTTTCGCTGGCTTCAACTCCCAGCCATTAATTTATTTCATTAATCTCAATTTCTGAGAGATAAAAAAGTTTCTTAGACTAATACTTTTTCTTTGGCATGTTCAGCGCACTGTTGACAAGACCGTTTTCAGTCCTCCATTGATAGGTTAGAGCAAAACCAGCTCATCAGCTGTATGCACCAAAAGTGCCTGTTACAGTGAGGTCCTAACAGATCCAGGACCAAGCAAGTAACATCCTGTAATGGCTGCAACATGTTGCCTTGTGGAACTTCTTAATTGTGAAGGTAAATGCCTTCTCCTGGGGCGCCATGCTCAGCACTCCCCAGTGCTATGACTGCACTAATCCTATTTGAAACCCAAAAGGCTGGCAGACAGGAATATTCCTACATATCCTCGCTTAGCAGCTTTTGGAAAATCCACTCAGACACATCTGTGGCACCTTGCTGGGAAATGTGGAGTAATCCACACACAGCTGTCTCCGCATGTTTTATTTCCTCCTTCCAGCCACAGGGACAGTGTTGCCTCTTCCCAACCCATTTGCTGGGAACTGCAGAAAAGGGAAAGTGCAATGGTTCTGTGGAGGCTATGCAGACACTGTCTGAGGGACCAGGAGACAGCTTCTCAGAGACAAAAACAGACCACTGTCAAAGGCAGACTGGAACTGTGTCTCAGTGCCCTACAGGAGGAAGACCTACTAAGGGTGCGGACAGCCACTCTTCCAAAGAAAACACAACTCAGCTTCTTTTTACCACTTTCTAGACATCAGCTGATCCTTAATTTGTACTAATCAGAACTCCCACTAAGAAAAAATGAAAAACCTGGGTGTACAGTGGGAGGTCATTTAGATTGAAGGTGCCTGGACAAGGACCTCTCTTACAAGTTTAACAAGTATACAGCACAAACAGTATGAAACTTGGCCCAGTTCCTTTATAAGGTAGAAAGATTTCCTCTTCTTTGAAAAGAACAGAAACCTGAACTAGAGAGACACACGTGATAAGAGAGGGACAACAAGGGATATCAGTGGCTGATTTCAGACTGATGAATATATTGAGACACCTTCCAGGTAGATGAGACTGCAGGCTTTCAAATGAAGAAGTGCCAAGTTCTCAAATTCTCCAAGTGTTCTCATGGTGTCTTGTGTTATTTACTTAATCCATTAAAACACCTGGCATTAAGTGGCTGTTAAAATTGGAATGTCAACTTTATAAATATGAAGCCATCAGGATTGCTGTGTGAATGATAAGGGCTCAAAAATCAGAAGGGATAGAACTGCCAGAGAGAGGTATATTAATGCATTTCCAGAACTGAAGAACAGAGGTGGTGCTACCATCACTGTTCTAAACTGGAAACAGCTTTCCTGATGTCTTGCCTTTAAATTAAGGCAAAAGTTGAAAACTTTCTTTTAAAGAAAAAGATGATTGCTAACAAAAATTTGAAATAACCTTAATCAGAGCAACCTTTTTCTAACAAACTGCCTTTATAAGCAATAGAATAACATGGCTACACTGGTGGGTTTTCTTTCAAATTAAAATATATTTCAGAACGGACAAATTGCAGTTGTACAAAACTGTACAAAGAAACTATCAATGCTTCTAACAATTTTAGAAAGTAAAAAAAGTAAATAAAGATGTGAAAAAGTATACAAAGAGAAAATATACTGGCTTATGAAAACATCTGCATATACAAACCTATCCCCAAGATAAAATATAAAAATATATATTGAAATTATGCAGATATGCTCTGGAAAGTCTGCCTATTAAAACAGTTTACCTAGCCTTATAAAGGATAAAAATAATTTATACTTTGAATGAGAATTAATTTTGCAGTACTTACTCTCTGAATGCCAAGTTCACAAACAGCTGCTGCCTAGACAAAAAGTCCTGTTACTTGCTGATGAAGAATAAAGTGTTTTGCCTTTAAATCCATGGATTCCTAATAAAATGACCCAGAAAAGGTATGCAGAGCTTATTGGCCTATAGCAGCACTAATAGAACACTAAAATGAGTTTCATCCTGTATCTCTATTTCTTTAATACCGTGTATAAATTTGTTGCATCACCTCTAAAGAGGGGAATAAACAAAAAACCCCAAACAAAACCAAACAGCAACACCACCATCCTCCCCCAACTATGGCTGTTTAAATAAAAAGTTATTTTGCATCTCTTGTTGGGTGAAATTCCAAATAATTTCTGACATACAGCAGAGCATTTGGAAATAAAACACAAAGTCTTATTAAACTAATTTTCAACTTGCCAAAATCATTCAATATGATTAAGCATTCTGCCAAAACCCAGCCAGAAAGAACAGCTCAACTCTTTCTGGTATCATTAAGATGTAACCTATAAATAAAATCTTGAATGGTTAACAGCATTTCTGTGCAAACTTTTGACATGGTTGTTAGAACTGCTTTCTCTGGTGGGCTTTGCAACTTCGCAAATACAGCATTTTCAAATAAAGTATTCATATTTAAGAGGCCAGGCTGTATACTGTCTAATAAAAGCAGAATGTTAGTGTAGGTTTTATAAACCTCATAACTTCATTACACTGATTTAAAAATCAACAAAACCTACTACTTATGTACAACATCTAAGTAAGCAACAAAGCAATTAAGCAATCCCCATAGGTGTACTGTTCCGAGAGTAAATAAATAGTTTAAAATATGCATATTGATTTTAAAAATAGAAAATAGTATCCACAAAGTGAAGGCACAGCTAAGTTTGTACATTCCAATTCATAACTTTATCATAGTCCTGAATTCTTTGTTTTATGTGAGAAAGCTTATTCTTTAGGTATTCGCAACGCTCCTTCTTCTCCAGAAATGCAGGATCCTGCCAAAAATACAAAAACCTTTACATTAATATATTACACTTTCAGACTCTTCAAAGAATAGTCTATTATTAGTTATGTTCTTGATTAAGGACAATATATAAATATTCTCTAAAATCATACTCTCTTTCCCTGGCACTGTGTTTTCTTGGTCTTATTACTGCTTCCCCTTCCTTCATGAAAGGCTGGAAAAGGAGGTTCTGCTCTTATACTCTAGTTACTTAGTAAACAGAGCAATTTTTAAACAGAAATCTGCAAATATAAATGACATCCCACTACATAATTTAGATTTTATACGTGTCTTGCGGTATGTCTAATAAATCCCTTCCTCCAAAAAATGCAATGAAGTTTAACAAAAATGGACACAAAATTTGAATTCCATGGAGAAAAAAGGCACTTGTAATGTATTACGTTTTCAGTAGAACACAGGTACTCATTTACTGCCCACATTTAAAAATGACAAAGCGAAACCTCTTGTATTACACTGAAAGTTACTTTTTGAGTGTCTGTCCAAGTTGCATACCACAAAGAAAATACTGAACTTCTATTCAAAGAGTAAGACTGTTTTCTGTTCTTATCTATTGGCTGTGTCAGTCAGTGTATATAAATGAACTGGATCCCCCCAAATAACCAGTCTTCTAAATACAGAATGCTAAAACATGAGACATATTCTCAGAAGATGAAAATGTTTAACTGTTGGGTCAAATCGCGCCCCCCCCCCCACCTGGCTAACAGAATCATTATTCCCAAAAAAGGTTGCTGGCATGAGTGGAGTGGCTTGTGTCCTAACTTTGATGAAGTTTTATAAGACAAAATATACAAAGACCTGTAGGAGCTACAGATACCCTGAGCCAGTGTACCTAGTGTCGCACATGTTGTCTATTTACACTCTCTTTGCTATTCATTAGATTCACTAGCAATGTAAAGCTGAAAACACTCACATTTTTCTTCTTCTTGTATTCTTGCAGAACTTTTGATATCCTTTCCTGTTCCTAATGAGAGAGACCACACATTTTTAAACACCTTCAGTGTGCTCCATTTCTTCATATAAATTTTACAAAACACTCATCAGAAGTAGAAGTTTTATCAATCCATTCTAGTTGTAACATTTTAGTTGTAAATCTTGTAGTTGAAAAACAATGAAAGTACACTAATTGTAACCCACTTGAAAGCTACTAGCATGAAAAAAGCCCACAA